AGTGGCATGAATGTGTTCAAAAATCCAACGAATCAGTAAGTGAATTCATTGTACGTCTGCGTGGATTATGGAAGGAGGTGAAACCTCAGGAAACAGAAGCAGATCTGGTGCAGCACCTCTATGCAAAATTCATGCGGAACTGGTTCAACTCATTGGAGTAAAAGATCCTCTAAATGTCGATGCACTTCTCGCGCAAGCAAAAGTGGCGGAACAGGTGCTTTTTCGTCGTTCACAACAGTCGGCATATCCTCCAACAACGACTCACGCGGCGGCAACCTTGTCGACCCGTTCGGTTACCCCAAAACACTGCTACATCTGCGCGAGTCCACATCATTTGGCAAATACATGTCCCGATAAAAAACCGAGACAGTATTATCCAAAAAACTACAGGTGAATCTCGCGGCAGCGGGGTGGCGAGATTCAGTACCCAATACTCCAAATAAATCCTCGTTAACAGAATGTCACACGGTACACACCCTTAACTATAACCTTCCTACAGCACCGGAGGTTCTAAAAATATCGGGCGCCATCAACAAATTAGCATGTAAACTCATGATCGACACTGGAGCCTCACTCTCTGCGATCAGTCCCGAGGCCTTCCAGCAATTGTCTCGACACCCTATAGACGGGGTGGAAAGCGAACCAGACGTTGTCTTACGTTTATTAAATGGCTCGGTAATCAGCCCACTTTCACACTCTCTGATTATAGCAGTCACGATCCACAACATAACACGACACCATCGTGTATTTGTCCTCCCGGATCTGAAACATTTCTGCCTACTCGGCAACGATTTCATCAAGAAGCATAATCTACAAATCGACGGTGGGGCACAAAGCGTTAGATTTCGGAAAGAACAGAGTGCTTCAGCTGAAATATCTCCAGACGTAGAAGTGAACAATAATCTTGCCACGTACTCACTAATGGCTATATCAACTACAAAACTCCCCCCTTATTACAGAGCCATCATTCAAGTGAAACCGCATAAACCCTTCGAATGCTTTTCACCGGAAACAAGCTATGCAGTACACTCCATAGGCGACTCTCCGCGGGTGGCAAACGGTATCCTCACTCCGCAACCACATTTGTGCATTGAAGTAGCTAATATATCTCGAAAACATATTTATATCTCACCGGGTCAGAAACTAGCAACATTGGAAAGACTCGACGAGAGACAAATAAATCTATTAGAACACATTAATAGGATACCCGTCGAGCAAGAAGGTGATACGTTGCCCGACCTTTCGTGCACAGAACTCACCGGGCAAGAAAAGAAACAGCTTCAAACGCTTATTGAACAATTTCCAAAAGTATTCTCGAATACTCCTGGACGTACAAACGTCCTAGAACATCACATCGAGACTCAACCAGGAGTGAAACCGTTTAACTCCGCTCCGTATCGATGTGGTCCGCCCAAGCGCGATATTATCAGCAAGGAAACGAAACAAATGCTAGAAAGCGGAGTGGCGTCACCGTCAAAAAGTGCATGGGCGTCGCCAGTGGTCCTTGTCCCGAAAAAAGACGGCACATTACGGTTCTGTGTAGATTACCGGAAGTTGAACTCAGTAACAGTACGTGATGCCTACCCCATTCCACGAGTGGATGATACGCTGGATACGCTTCGGAACGCAAAATATATCTCCACACTGGACCTCCGCTCAGGCTACTGGCAGGTAGCGTTAGATAAACAAAGCCGAGAAAAAACGGCCTTTATTACACACGAGGGCTTATTTGAGTTCAACGTGATGCCGTATGGGATAAGTAATGGTCCACCCACCTTCCAGCGACTAATGGTCCTAGTTCTAGCGGGTCTAAAATGGCAGTGCTGCCTAGTTTATATAGACGATGTTATCATTTTCTCTCCTACGTTCGAGCAGCATTTACAAGATTTAGGCGAAGTTTTTCAACGAATCCAGGATGCAGGTCTAACACTAAAAGCATCAAAGTGTCTATTTTGTAGGAAGGAGTTAAAATACCTGGGACACATGATCACACCGGAAGGCATAAAGCCAGACCCGGCGTTAGTTTCAGCCGTTCAAAATTTCCCTCTACCCACTAGCATCAAACACCTTCAATCCTTTCTTGGTCTAACCGGCTACTACCGGAAGTTTATCAGACGGTATGCCAGCATAGCCGAACCTCTGCTAAAGCAACTTCGCAACAATAAGAATCATCACCTATCGTGGGATGATAGTTGTACTGAAGCCGTCCAAATTTAAAGGACTGTCTCTCACGAGCACCAATCTTGACGCCTCCCGATTTTCACAATCCTTTTATCATCGAAACGGACGCGTCGTGTCTCGGATTGGGTGCCGTACTCGGTCAAGAATATGCGGACAAAAATGTTGTCATTGCATACGCGAGTCGCACCCTATCTGCGGCTGAACGAAAATATGGAGCCAGCGAAAGAGAAGCTTTGGGAATCGTGTGGGCTACACAACATTTTCGTCCCTACATCGAAGGACAAGATTTAACTATTCGATCTGACTGTTAAGCTCTCACATGGCTTCGGGAAGTTAAAGACCCTACCGGCCGTCTTGCCCGTTGGTCCATGAAATTACAAAACTTGAATATCGACGAAATTAAATATCGACCCCGAAAAGAAAACAGCAACTGTGATGCATTTTCTAAACATCCTACAGATGATACGCCTGTCAAAGAAGATCATGAAATCGCCATGTTAGAGACAGTAGTAAACATCTGGGAGGGTACCAATATTCTCGACGACATAAGAGCGGAGCAACACAACGATAAACAACTTCGTGTATTAATAGATTACCTTCAAAACAATCTCATGTTGGACAAATCTTCAGTCTCAGGGGTCCCTCGTATGGCTCTCAGTACGCGGTCATAAACGGTCTCCGTCACAAAACTCGCCCGTCAAACCGATATACTGACCAGCGCCCGGTAGGCTCTAAACACCTTCTGGTAATCCCTAAGGCAATGCAACAAAAAGTACTGGAGTGGGCTCATGACCACCCAACATCTGGACACTCAGGGCGCCACAAAGCCCTGTACCGCCTCCTTACGCGAGTGTATTGGCCTACCATACGAAAAGATGTCTATAAACACATCATGGAGTGTGTTTCATGTCAAAAGTTCAAATACGCAAATCAACCGGCATCATCACCGATGCAGATGCATATTGTCACTGAGCCATGGCACACAATTGGAGTTAACCTAATGGGGCCCTATCCTCGAACGCAACGAGGTAAAGAATTTGTGCTCGTTGTGGCCGATTATTTTACCCGTTGGATCGAGGTGTTTCCTATGCGATCAACAACCGCCTTGGAGGTTGGTGCACTCATAGTAAACGAAGTCATTTGTCGCTATGGTTGTCCCAAGTACATATTATCAGATAATGGCCCGCAGTTCGTGGCGGAGATCTTTACATCAATCTGTAAAGACCTATCTGTAAAAAATAAATATACGGCGACGTATCATCCTCAAACGAACATGACGGAGCGAGTTAACAAAACCCTTAAACAGATGATATCGCAATATGCAGAAGGCAAAGATAATTCGTGGGATAAGGAGCTCCAAAAGCTAGCTTTAGCAATTCGAACTTCGGTCAATGAATCAACGGGAGAAACACCCGCTTTTCTGAATCTGGGACGCGATCCACGCCTCCCTCTAGACCTGCTGATTGGAGACACGACCAGCGGCCCACCGGGAAGTCCGGATGATCAAAAAAAGGCCACTAAAAGCTATCGAGATCGGCTTATAGAAGATCTGAAATACGCCTATCAAGTAGCCAGGGAGCACGCGCAAGTGAAAAAATTGACTCAAAAGGCATACTACGACCGACACACTACCTCAAGACAGTTTAACAAAGGACAGTTAGTCTGGGTCGCCATCCCACACGGGGCATTCGTGGGCAAACTTCATCCACGATGGCAAGGTCCGTGTAAAATACTAGAAAAAATTACTCCATCTACGTTCAAGATTCAACGATTGTCAGACCGAGTAACCATGGGTACGGTTAACGCTGACCGCTTAAAACCTTATTTGGCTCCGCAAGCACCTATAAAACCCCTTATGTCGGTTACTCCTATAACTCCTCTCATGGATCTAAACCTGGCAGAAGACCACCCGGTATCAGAACAATGGCACAATAAAAAGGGCAAATCCGCCGATCTATCCAGGCTACATAATAATCCACAACCGAGACGGTCAGAACGGAGGAAAAAACCCATAACACGGTTGCCTTTGTAATCACTCAACAACTGGTTAACCAAATTTTCAGGTGTAAATAGGTTAGTCAATTTCAAATAAATTTTTTTGTTTTCGTCTGTTCTTCGCATGTTTGAATTGTCCGATTAAGGTGTTACACACACCATGAGAATTATAGCGGCATAAAGAGATACATTTTTCTGTTTCCAATTAAGCCATTAGGTTCCTTGCATCATTTATCCAATTTGAGACAGCTGGAAGAGAAAAACACAAACGAATGATGTATTATTCTATTCTATGAGAAAATCAATTCCTCTATTCCTTTAACCGATACGATATTAAAAGAAAAAGGAAAAAGAAATATATATACATACTCGTAGTTTGCCAATGAAGCAATCAGGTTCATGGCATCATTTCTCCAATTTGAAACAGCGGAATATATTCGAAAGATAGAAACACACACAAATGTTGTATTCGACTCATGAGAGAATAAATTCCTTATTCCTTTAACAGACACTATACAAAAAAAAAAAAAGAAGGAAAAAGAAATACATCCGTATAAATAGGGCATACACGTCAGTTCGCTGTCTAACTCACGTCTTGTTCAACACTCTACCTCAGCATCCTATTTCAAAATCAAGTGCTATACTCTATAGTACTGTCACTCTCCGTGTTCACTACACGGACCACTATTTTGCCTAAACACACTATTGCCTCCTATCCTCATGCAGCATTATTTACCAAATATATAGGAGAATATAAGCCGTCACATAAAATAATTAAAACATCAGTAATAATTCCTATTACGGAGACACACTGCGCTTGGATTCCGTTCACATCGGCCAAAAAGATATCTGAATGTGCTCACCTTTGGAGAACGTCTCACACAAGACACAAACGCCTGTTGTTTGACATTATAAATTTTGGAATAGCTACCTCAGCACTCGGCGTGGGAGTAGCTAATTCTATTCAGATCGCTAAACTGTAACATTATATAAAACGAAAAACATAAATCTTTTACAAATAATTTTATTTTTTTAACGCAGGATGAGAGTATAATTTACACAGAGGAAGGAATATCAAGTCACTACCATAGACTCTTAGAAAAGCCACAGTTAGTCACACCCAAAAGTTACTTTATCGAACAAAAACTTGAATATCTTAGCTATTATTTGATCGAATTGACTAATTCTTTTACTGCTGATAAAATAGTGCTCAATTCATAAGACAAATGTCAAAAAACACTACTTTGGAATATCACTGTTGACTTCAATAAAGAATTGTAACCTTTCGTGAGTTATGTAAAACAACATTTATTCTGCTAACCAAAAATTTTTCCATCATTTCCTCACACTATCATTGGTCTCAAATTTAGATCTTGTTACTGATTGTGTCCGAAACATTTCAGCCATAAACAACGAGAATTTATTGAAAAACTGCACAAGTATTTTTTATCACTCGTCAAAGGGTACATTTCTTTATTGAGGCTAACGGTGACACTTCAAAGCAGCACTTTTTGACATTTGTCTTACGAATATGAGCTATCAATACCGCGTTATCAATGGTAACAAAATCAGCTCATTTGGTCAAAATATGACGGAGATATTCATATTTTTGTCCTTGGTAAAGTGACTTTTTTGACCGCCCTATACAACATGTAAGGTAACAAAATGGGAAGTCCAAAACATAATCAATAGTCCCTATTTGTGAACATATTAGTCTAAACTCGCAACATCATGTGGTTCGTTTTCTCGTCATAAGCACGAAATCTTTCAACATGAGTTCATGTCTCTTCGTCGACTGTGAAGAAAAACACTCACCAAACAAAGATCCCATCAATATTCCAAAGTTTACTAATTGGAAAGAAGGAGGAGATAAATTACTTTCAATTAAATCAATCCTTCCCATAAGAGTATGTATTACAATTGGTATTATAATTTCAATTATATTGCCCTCTTATACAAGTTATTCAATTGCTGCATTACTAATTACGCCATTGTCGATTAAATTACTACTAACATATTGTAAAATCTTACCCAACAGGCTTCGACAATTAATAATAACAGGTTAGCGAGCCTTTTTTCTAGAATAAAACCTTATGTAAGTGGTTTACAATCCTTTTCTTTAGCCTAAAAAATTCTGAACAATAATAACAATAAATAACAATAGAACAATAAATTCAGTACAATATTGGCGTTCATACGAAGGTTTAGGTCGGCATACACGTAATGCAGAAGCACGACATTTACCTGTATGGAATAAAATGATGACTCACAGAATTATCATGATACCAAAACCTTATCCTGCTTATTATGAAGTGCCGTATGTCGTGCCCCCGTTGCCACCTTCAGAGCAAAGTCATAGACTGATTAATCTAGTTCGATAATACGATAAACTTGGTGCAAATGTTAAGTCTAGTACTTTAGACTTAAGGCTCTAGTATTTTCCTTTTCTTAGTATTTAGTTGTCTATTTTGTCACATGCATATGCACATGACCTTTTATTATTGTACAGATCATAGTCCATTTCTTGCAGTTTTATTTTACATTTTCTTTTTCTATTTCGCCTGTTCAAACTTAACATATATCTATTCACCTATTGTTTTTTTCTTTCTTTCGTCCAGTTGTGATTACTGATATCTATATTAAAAATTGCATCATTCTTACTTATCACTGTCTGGTTTTTTCCCTTTATATTTTTTATGTCTGGTTTTCTCCTTTATGCCTCTGTGTCTTTGTACCTTCGAATATATATATATATATATAGCAGAACACACATACAGGAGTAGTTAGTTCTTTTTAGTTTTAGTTTGGTAGTTCGAATGTACATAGAGTTAATCAGTTAGTGGATAGATCAGCTAGTGGTCTTTTTATTTCATGTTATACGCTTATGTAATTTTACCATTCTTTTAAAATATATATATGTTATATTGGCATTTTGTTCAATAGCATTTGCAAATCTTCCTCTTTGAGCACGAAGCTCATCTTTAAAGACCCTCACATACACTACTTAACTAGTACTACAAAAGTCCTTCCAACAATCCTCAGGAGTCGAAAGAACACCACATTATGAGTAAAATTACAATTACTGAACACGAATCCAAGGTTAGCTTCAGTGTAACATTTACGAGGCAGATAGAGTCTTGCCGGGATTTCTAGAAAACCTACACTTGAAAAGTGCTTTATATAAACTCAAGTTCTGAGGGCTTTTGTAGTACTAGTTTAATAGTGTGTATGAGAGTCTTCAAAGATGAGCTTCGTGCTCAAGGAGAAAGACAGGTATTGAGTTAATTCTTTTCCATTAGACTCAACTCTTCTTTAGCTGCATTTTTATCTATAGTGCAAGAATGTTTTGTCTTGTTTTGCCTTCAGAAGAGGTGCAGTACTGAGTTCCATTTTTTAATTTTCGGCCGTTTTGTGACAGCTGGCCTGTCCTTGAAAAGTAGTAGAAGAAAATATTTACAAAATTCTGTATTACTTCGACTAATGCAGAATTTTGCAAATATTTTGTTCTAGAAGAATATACAGAGTTTTGCAGAGTGTCGCATTTGTAACTATTTATTGCGCTACGTCGCTTGTGTTTTTGCAGCTTTTTGCGTTACCATCTAAAAAACCTTTTGCCATTTCTACATCGGCGAAGACCTCTGGGTTCCGTTGGGAACTCGGGCACTTCTCTTGGATCTGGAACTTTTGAATATAGGTTTCTTTATGCTGTTTTGGATGCTGATTCCGAAAAATACTGTTTCAAGGTTCCAGAGCTACGGTTTTCCGAAAAACAGACTCTTATTGAATTTATTTGTAGAAAATGAGTGATCAGATAAAGGTCACCGTGTGTTTTAAGCGAATTTCATGATGGTATTTGTAATTTTCAATTTTCTGATCTTTATTACACACCTGAAATTTTGTTTCATTTCTACTCTTTTCTTTCTGTGTTATCTTCTTGTATATGATCTACGTTTTCGTTTTTTTGTAGGTGTGTATTGGCAAT